CTCTCGTAAACGTCATCGTTCTACGCGGGGTCGTTGACCCCGCGAAAGCGGCCAACGTCCGCCATCGTCGAATCCATCGAATTTGCAATCGAATTTGCGGCACAAATGTCGTTCGTCTCGCGACGACACCGATCGCCTGAGAATCGAGGAGCTCGCGATCCGCCAACGACGACGAGAACGACGAGGACGACAACGACGGGCGAGAGCGAGCGGGGTAGTAAATCTGAATCTCATTGCGCGCGGTCGTTTATTCGCGAGACGCGGGGTAGGGGCAATTATGGGGGCCATGAATATTTATGGAAACCCGCGCACCGTGTAATCTTTACGAGACACAACGGCCACGGGGACGTCACCCGGACGATCGCGCGATGCTTCACGGTTTACTTTGTCGGCTACGCCGAACTCAATTACCCTCGCGCTCGCACTTGTAATACGTAAGATACGAAGGACGGGACATCTCCCTCCCCTCCCTCCCCCCTTTTCTTTCCCCTCGCATGAGCGAAGAAGCGATCGATCCCTCGCTTAAGTGGCTACCTCGGCCTGTACACCGACGGCGACTCGCTGACAAAAGGACGCACGATGTCTACGCGCCGTGGCGAATGCGATGTTTCTCCTCCCTATCGTGGCGGAGTTATTCAAGAGGAGATAGGGAGAATTAATTTCAGCGCCGCGCGAGTGGATAGAGAAACGCATTAAAGCCTAATGCGATGCGAGAAATAGGCGGCTGGAATTTTGTCGCTTCATTTCTCATAATATAATATATGCTTGATATGTGAATATTTTGAAATAATCAAGACGCTGAAAGTGTAAAATAAATAATTGACATTTTGAACAAACGTCAATTAAATGTTTATAATATTAATATACATGTTTTTTTATTTTATTTTATCAATCAGCTCTTATTTTAAACAAACGGGATTTTTTTCTCTCTTTCGTTTTAAGCGTCGTATTTAATGTTTAAACATGTTTTCTAGTACGTGTAAAAGATTTTCCATAAAATTATTTTAGCAAGAGATAAAACAGTCGTCTATTAGGGAAACGTTTCCTTTCAATTTTTTTCACGAGCTTTATTATACTTTCCCTATGATTTCATTTTATCGCTCATTTATTATACCTCGCCCGGTTCTAAAGCGCCCCTAATGCAACCGTTTATTTCGCCCCACCATCACGTTAGAGGCCCCGGGCCCCGATTGCAAACGACCGAACGATGGCGTGCGGGACGTCGCTACCGTGGATCATCCCGTCTCGTCGTCTCTCTTTCCAAGACACAGATATACACGTGGATGGAGCGGGCTAGTTATCCCCGTCACGTAATCGCGCGCGATAAAGTAGCCCGCGGGGCCCGACAGAACGGTCCCCGCATTTACGACGGCGCGCTCAGGTCTCTTTTAATGGGCCCCGACCCGTCTAATTACTACCCTCGCCCCATAATACGTAATGAGCGCTACGCCCGCGTACAAGCGCATGCCTCGTCTTAGAATTAGCGGCATAATTACCCCCGATCGCGAGTTGGCAGGACGCTTATACGGTTACGCAATTGTACGAGGGAATGAGTACCAGGACGCGTGCATGCGTCGTCGTCCACCTTTTTAACTATTTA